AATTAATTATATATATTTATCTGTACCATCAAATTTAAATTTTTGCTCTAAAATAATCCTTGTTTATACATAACTCAATTATTTACTAGACGTATTGACAGACTTGGATGATTATGGCTACAGATGACACACCTATACATATTATGTTTAGACAACTGTATTTAAAAAAATAAAGTAACAAAAAATACATTAAATTAAATAAAAATTCATAATTATTGGTAAATCAAATTTATTGTTTATTTATACCATATTTTATTTTACAAAGTTTACTTTACACTTTTATTTTACAAGAATATCTATTAATGGTAACCATGAAGATGGTTCATTATATATTACCCCGTTATCTATTAAACTAAAAGGTGTTGGCATTGTTTCCAACCCTAGATATTGCATCTCTTTTTATGCGGTCGTCGGTCGACTCAAATGACGACTAACATCAGTGGTAGCGATGGAGTCAATACTTTTTCACATAGATTTCTCGAAAATATTAACAAAAAAGTAGTTTTGTTAAACAATTTGTCATAACAATTGTTAATATTTGTCATGTTAATATCAATACATTTTAAGTGACATGGTGAGCAATGATTTTAAATATAATTGGTTTTTATATGGGAATTAACTTAATTATTAAACAATTTTTAAAGCCACAGAATAATATTATTTAATAAATGATCATGTATTTTCATCTTTGCAAAGTACAAAAATAAAATAGTAAATAAATAAATGTGTTAATAAATAACAATATTAATTATAATAAATATTTAGAACTAATTTAAATATTTAAATAATACTATTAATTTTATTTTGAATTATTGTTAACAACTAAAACTTTATTAAAATGTATTTAATTTTATTAAATGAATAAAACTGTAATATTTACTTTAAATAAATTTATAAATAATAATAAGATTTGGATTTAAATTTAAATGGCATTCATGGGCTATTGCGTTAATTTAAAAATAATTTTACTAAAGTATTTAAAATAAAATAAAAATTAGTTTTATATAAAGTATATTAAATGTGTTTTCTAAATTATATTCTTCAAATGTTATTATTAACGCATTGTAAACTAGGTGTTAATTGTAAATTTTTTAATTAAAAACAATATTATTAATTAAATGTGACATTTTGGAAAAACATTAAGTGTCCATACTATAACAAGGGCACATTTACTTTCTTATCCGAGTCACCATGGGCGTTAATATAAATGGTAAGGTTATGGCCAGTGGCCAAACAAACTATCTGTTTAGTGTCGATACCATTATAGCACTGATAAACAACTGATGGCCATATGATGTGTGCAAACCATTTGCCGATAGATTAGTGCCGTTAATCACTTGCCTTCAGAACAGCAACCCTTCCAACGGATCCACTCTTATCTCTGGAGCCGTGCAATGAATTTGGCTAATAATTGGCAACAATTGAACCGTTTCATCTTAACTAGTGCTAAGTAGTTTTATCATTGAGTCACAATATTCACAATAAGCATTGAATATTGTGACTACATGATAAAACTACTTAGCACTAGTTAAGATGAAACGGTTCAATTGTTTTAACAATGGATATGGATAAACGCAAACTATTGGTGTTTATTACTTCAAATTAGGGTTTTAAGTGATAAAATTAAAGTCTATTTAATTCTTAAGATAATGAACTACGAGAAGCGGTCTATTCACTAAAGTAATCCTCTATTATCTCCCATTGTGTCACCAATTTTTCAATTTCCTAATTAACGATTAAACTTGATTTTAAGACCAAAATCTGAAGACACTCCCGATTTGATGACATTTTTAACGCCATTTCATATTAGTTAATAGTTAGTTATAGCAATATAGTATTTAATAGTTATATCATTAAATTATATTAATAACATATATAAATTATTTATACTGAATATAAATATTTAAAAAACAAAATAAAACCAATAATAAGCATAATTAATAATAAATTATATTGTTATGCATCTAAATAAAATAATTAATTTTGACTTTTGCTTTTTAAAAAGCCATAACAATTGGCGCTATTATAAACACAAGTTTGAAAGTATTTTATTTATTTTTATTAAAACTAATTACTGAATTTAACTTCAGTACAAAATATGTAATCTATAATTATTTCTTAAATAACAACTAAAGATAAGTAAAATATTTCAGAATAACAAAGGAACATCTGTCAATTTCAATGTTTTATCTAAACTCTAAACAATTATAAAAATAATTTATAAAATATAACTTGGTGTATATAAAAAATTAATTTAAACAGCATGTGTTAACAATATAAACTACTTAATTCATCATAGATTCAAAATCAAAATAAACATTAGTTAAATGTTATCATATGAAGAATAATAATTAAATTAGTTAATATTATCTTGTGTAATATACAAGATGTACATGTTCAACAAAACACACAAATATACTTTTATATACTGTACTTTAAAACGCGGATGTGAATTTAAATATTGCCAAACAAATGTTAAAGACAAGGTTTTATTAAAAACTTGATAATTATCTTTTGTATTGTATGTAAATAAAGTAATTAATCATAATTAGTCATATTTTATACAGTACAAAATATATTTATTTTATTTAAATTTAGTTTTAATTATGTTATTAAAATATTTTAGTATTATTTTTGTCTTAAATAATTGTATGTAATACTATGTAAAACCGTTGAATAAATGCGCATACTTTTTTATTAAATAAACCATAACTAAAAATTTATTTTATATATACTAGCTAGACTAATTAACTCGGAAGGAGTGTGCGGCGATGTTGGCAATTGGAACATATTTCACGATGATTATTCAGACATTTGCTATACTTGGATAAATAGACTTGAAACTTATACGAGCGCGGTTAATCTATGCAAATCTGTGGGCGCAACACTACCTACAATTAATTCCGAAGCTGAGCAAATATTTGTGAATAACTATTTATTCACCAAGCACAAAATAATGGAGAGTGTATGGCTGGACGCTAGCATTAAAAACAAACATATAGTATGGGCGGACAACACTAGTACTGACTACGAGAACTGGATTGCTGGGCGCCCGGTTAACGATAGCAACTGTGTCGAAATGGTGCCTGACCAACTTAACACGGGCAAGTGGTTAGATCAACCATGTGGTAAGAAAAATATTGTGGCATGCAAACGCATGGTGACCAGTTTGAATGACCATGAACAGCGTTTGGTAAGCGACAATCGTCGGATATTGAAACAATATCAAACAGATATGACAGGGTTGAAACAGGCGATATTTCAAAATCAAGTTAAAATTAGCCAAATAGAAAATGTTGTAATTGAATATGGGTTAAAAATTGCTAAATTGGAGGGCAGTCAGGTGCCCATTGGCTTTATATACGTACAGTTACCATCGCAAGCTGATCCCAATACACTGTGGCCCGCATACGAGTGGTCAGATGTGACGGCCACATACGCGGGTCAGTTTTTCCGGGCCGAAGGAAACGGTAGTCTAGACTTTAATACTGGAGTTCAAGCGGAAAATTCACCTAGATTGTCAGAAGTTAAAAATTTCGGAGTTGGAGGGGAGGAATGGGATTTGAAATTAACTCCGGGTGTATGGAGTAAGCTATTATATACCGGGTCAGGGGGTGGTGGCGACGGTCCCGTATCCATAGGTATTTTAGTGAGTGGGGGTGAAGTGCGGCCCCGGAATCAAACCGTGCGTATATTTAAACGTATTGAATAATAATTATTTTTCCATAAATATAAATTGTATGTTTTATAATTGTGTTGTAAAACTATAATATAACAGTTGCTATAGTATCCATAGCTAATAATGTCTATTAAACATTAATTTAAATAAATGTATTACTAATTCAATAATTGTTAAATATTTTTTTTTAAAACTTGGTTTGTGTTGAATAATTAATTATAAAAATGATAAATAGCATATTTTTAAATTCACGGATGTGAAATAAATTATAAATTACAACTTGTTAAATATGATAAATTATAGATATATAATTGATACTAATTTTGTTTGTTAATATATTTACTCAATTAATAATCTTTAAAGATAACTCTATTGTATTTCTATGTCAATTAATTAATTATATTTATTTTAATAAATAATTTTCTTTTATTATAATGAATTTATGTTAACATAATCTTTATTGAGTTATCAAGTTCATTTATTTAAACAATATGATAAAGTATTACAAAATAAACATAATGGCCAAACATGTGGTTTTAAAATGTTTTACTTTTTATGGGATTTATTATTATAAAAATAAATTATGCAATTGATGTGATTATAAAAACAAATATAAAATTTTGCAAAGTTGCAAATTATTATGATAAATTAACAAATAACATGATAAATTTAGAAATAAAGCATGTGAATTAGAGTGGGAAAAACATGATAAAATTATTAATATATGGTAATAATATATTAGATAAATTTTATATAAGTTTTACCTACTGCTAGTATATAAATCAGTAAAACATTATAAATAAATTAGTAAAATAAATATAAAGATATATTAAATAAGAAAAATAGTTTCTAAATACTTAATAATGTATTTATATTATTTTTCAATTTTTGTTATTTTGCTAAATTGTAAGTTTTTACAATAATTAAAAATAAAATCAGCTATCTAAAATCAAAAATATAAATATATAAAACATACCATATTATTGTATTTAGCCAAGATTGTAATTTCTGAAGGCGTTTGCGGCGATGATTGGGACCTATTTCAAGATGAATATAGCGATGTTTGTTATCGATATATACCGGACAATTTAGGCGATTATGCAACCATAGTCAATTATTGCAAATTACTCAATTCATCGCTACCAACAATTAATTCAAAAGCTGAACAAGATTATCTTAACAAACTGATCGTCAAATACAAAATGGTGGAAAACGTATGGTTAGACGCCGGCATCAAAAACAAACACATTGTTTGGAAAGACAGAACCACTGCTATGTACGAGAACTGGGAGTCCGGGCACCCGATTAATGACGACAACTGTGTGGAAATGGTTACCGATGAAGATAAGGTGGGCAAATGGCTGGATCGACCATGCACTAAGAAAAATGCTTACCTATGCAAACGTGTGGTGATGTGGTCGGGCGATCGTATAGAGCGCTTGTTCAGTGACCTAAAACGCGTGTTAGACAGGGATGAAAGTAAAATAGCCCAGTTAGAGCAGAATCAGGTGCCCGTTGGTTTTACATACGTGCAATTGCCTGGAAAGCCTGAGCCCAAAACACTGTGGCCCGCATATCAGTGGTCAGATGTGACGGCCGAATACGCGGGTCAGTTCTTCCGGGCCGAAGGCAACGGTAGCCTAGAATTTGGTAAAGGTGTTCAAGTTGAGAATGCACCTAGATTGTCTAAAGTTCAAAAATTTTGGAAATTTCCTGAATTATATGATAATGTTGATTTAGCTCCTGGTGTATGGAGTAAGAATGTACTATCAGGCGGTCCAGGTAATGGTGATTATAATTCTCTTAAATTTTTGCTGAGCGCTGGTGAAGTGCGACCCCGTAATCAGGCGGTGCGCATATTTCAACGCACTAAATAAGTTTATTATTAATTTTAAATTTTAATATGTAATATTGTGAGTAAAATAAATGTTGAGCAATATTAAATGTAATCGTTAATCAATGTACGTTATATTATTTTCAAATGTAACTTCTTAAATAAATATACTATTATGGTTGTTATGAAATTAAAGTAAACCTTATTTTATCAAATAAGATAGATAATATAAACATTAATTTGTCTATGTAAACAATATTAATATTAGATTATTATTAATTAATGTTTTATAATTACAAATATATTCAAAAATAAAATTTATAATTATATTGATTAACAAACTGAGCACTATTATTTCAAAATATTTTAAAATTATATTAATTAATTCAAAATGAGAATCAATACTATTGTTATTATCGTTTATGTAATGCAATTGTTTCACCTAAAACTAGGTAACAAACATTATATTTAATAAGTGTTATTCACAATTTATTAATTTAATAATTTTATTTTTAAAATATTAAATGATAAATTATCATTTATAATCTACAATGTATAAACTGTATATTATACATTAACTAGAGTATACATGCAATAACATTTAATTAACATATGATCTTTTTATAACAATTATGTTTTAAAATTTGTTAGTACATGGTAAATGTCGAGAGCCGTGCGGATGCAATGGTTGGGTCGCTTACGGGGACGAAAAATGTTACCGTGTGTTCAACACAACATATCCCATGACATACGCCCAGAGCGGCGAGTTTTGCGGCGCCCTTAAACCGGGACCGTATTATCCGACTCTACCGATCGTGGAGTCTGCGGACGAACACCGGTTTCTCGTCGACTATTTGTCGGACACTTTCGCAAACTGGACGGACGTGTGGATCGGCGCCCGGCGTTGGACATCACCGGCAGATAACTCGACATTGTTTCAGTGGTGGGACGGGTCGACACTGAACTACAGTAATTGGCTGTCGGGCGAGCCGTGTCTTATAGACCGGGCCGACTGCGTGGCCATGAAGTCCCGGTTCAATATGATTGGTGCAAATGTAAGCCATGGCATGTGGGCTAACACTTTGTGCGCCGCGCATAATGTAGTGCTGTGCCAAAAGATGCAGTACTGGCCGTATCGGGAGATGCAATTGGCAGTGATAGCATAACGCCGTCAAACAAAACAGTTACATAAAGAGTTAGCTAGTTTACAATATATTCTACACTCAATTGAGAATAATTTAATAAATTATAATACTATACACGGTAAATTCGTGGTAGAATTTTTATCATTTTATTTATTAAATTTTAATATTAAATAATGTTTGTTTAGAATCTATAGAAAATTATTATAATTTTTTATTGCTAAAAGTTACAATGTCATTTATATATTATAATTCATATAATTAGAAATGATACCGGACACGGATGAATCATGCGGTGATGGATGGGATGTATTTCACGACAAGTACTACGATATATGCTATCGATATTACTTAGATAGTTTAGATAATTATCAGACCGTGGTCAATTTTTGTCAACAACAACAGCAATCATCTCTACCAACAATTAATACACAAAGCGAGCAAAATTTTCTCAATAAAATGATCGTAAAATACAATATGGTGCAAAATGTATGGCTCGACTCCGGCATAAAAAACAAGCAAATTGTTTGGACCGATACTACCAGTAGTGCTGAGTATGCAAATTGGATGCCCGACCGCCCGGTTAACGATAGTAACTGTGTCGAATTGGTGACTGACCATGCTAATCTGGGTAAATGGCTAGATATACCGTGTTCAAAGAAAAATAGCATTGTATGCAAGCGTGTAATGTTATGGTCTGATCAACGTAGAGAGCGTTTGATCAGGGATAATATGCGTGATTTGGAGCGTGATAAAGCAAAAATAGCCCAGTTGGAACATAAACATCAATCTGAAAATGATCAATTAAAAAACAATTTAAACAATGCGCATGCAAAAATTACCTTGTTGGAATATAAACATCAAACTGAAAATAATCAATTAAACCAACATTTAAACGATGCTCATGCCAAAATTACCGTGTTGCAACAAAGTCAAGTACCTATTGGTTTTATATACGTACAACTGCCTGACCAGGCTCATCCCAATACACTATGGCCCATATACACGTGGTCAGATGTGACGGCCACATACGCGGGTCAGTTTTTCCGGGCTGAAGGTGGGGATAGCTTAGGCTTTGGCAATGGGGTACAGGGAGACAATTCACCCAGGGTAACATCTATTCAATACGGTTGGAAACATAAGGACGCAGAGAGTATTACCCTAAAACCTGGAGAGTGGAGTCAGTACATTATAACTGCAGGAAATAAAGGTGATTATGATAGTCATAGTTTTTATGTGAGTGGGGGTGAAGTGCGACCACGTTATCAAGCGGTTCGTATATTTAAGCGTACTACGTAATGATATGCTATTAATGTTTTTAGTTACAATTTAATTCAATGTAGTTATTTTTAAAATACAAGTAAAATAATACATTTTTACATAATTATAAATAAAATTTTATAAACAGTATAAATTTTGAAAATTTTTTTTAAATGCTAAATATTTTTACCATTGTCGTGTATGAATAATCTAGTTACATTTGGATATATGTAATTTTATTTTTTGTAAATGTCAATTTATCAAAATATAATGAAAACATTAAATTTATTTAATTTTTAATTTTATTAAATTGTGCATTTAGATTTAGTGTTCCCAGAAGGTCAAGGAATTCCTTGATTGTCAAGAAAATAGGGGTCTAGACCAGAGTCAAGGCGGGGGTCATTCCTTGATATGGGATGGCCAAGGAATTATATTTGCAAAAAGTAATACAAAAACTGTACAAATATCTAACTTTTATTTTTACATGACAGTAAAATGCAATACAAATAACATACATTATAATTGCACTCATAATGTTGTTGATTTGCTGTACATTATTGCTATAATAATATTTAAATATAATGTAAAACAATGTCAATAAATAGATTTGTACCAAAAGCATGCATTAAAAACATAATTGAAAACATATTTGTGGACCTCTTTGTCATTAAGTTGTGATTATTTTGTAATAAACAAGACTTGAATTTGTTTTAAATTAATTGTTTCACTGAATTAACAATAATGAGTTCATCAAAAAAGAGAGCACAGCGTTTCTCTAAGTTTTTGGACATATGGTTAACAAATCCTGAATTTAGTGAATGGTTAATTAAAAAAGATGATCAAACAGCTGAGTGTCGTTATTGTAATAAACAATTTACTGTTAAACATGAAGGTGTAAATGCTGTTAAATCGCATAAGAATTGTAATAGTCATAAAACTAAAGCAAAATCAGCTAAAATGTGTCAAAGCATGTCATCGTTTGTGTCTCAAATTAATAAATCATCCAATGATGTAATTATCAGTGAAATCTGTTTTACTTATCATACGATTAATCATTATTTAAGTTATAATTCAATGGATTGTGGAATCAAATTAATGAAGAACTTATTTACTGATTCTAAGATCTGTCAAGCAATTCATTGTGGTCAAACAAAAATGGCCGCTATTGCCGAAAATGTCTTGTGTCCCATCAGTATTGAAAGGCATTTAAATTTAATTAATAATAAAAAGTTTTCAATAGCAAGCGATGCCAGTAATAAAGGTAACGTTAAACTGTTCCCAATTGCTATTCAATATTTTGATAAAAGCTCTGGAATTAATAATTTTGTATTAGATTTTTACGAGGATTCAAATGAAAAATTGGAAAATATTTTTAATAAATTAAAAACATCATTACATGACAATAAATTGGATTACAATAATTTGATTGCATATTCAGGCGATAATGCATCTGTAAATTACGGAAAACATCACTCAGTATTTGCAAGTTTTAATAATGAAAACTCAATAATAATTAAAGCAAATTGCAATTGTCATGTTCTCCACAACTGTGTTAAATATTCATTACTATTATTGCCTTTTGATGTCGAAAATCTTATTTTAAAACTTTTTTCTCATTTTTCTATTTTGGCTAAACGTGTGAGTGAACTAAAATCGTGTTATGATTACACGGAAAATGAGTTTCAAGTGCTCAAAAGACATGTAATAACTCGTTGGTTATCATTGTTTCCTGCCATTAACCGTATACTAGATAATTGCCAACAAATTAAAGCTTATTTTGTGGGCATCGGTACCGACGAGTTATCGCCAATAATAACACAATTTGTATGGTCTGATACTATAAATAACATTACAATATGTGAATTATATTTGCACTTCACTTCACATTTAATGGAATTATTTCACAACAGTATTAAGATTCTGGAATTGAAGACGACTAATGCAACAAATCTATATAATATTATGTTTACATTATTAAGTAAATTAAAAAACCGACTAAAACTTGAATTTTTTGGATCAAAAGTTAAAGAAAATTTACAGTTATTCACAAATGATCAGCAAAATGATTTTATTAAAAATGCAAAACATGCATATACACGAGCAATTGATTATTTAAAAACACATTTCAATTTTAATGAGTCGCCGTATAAACTGTTTGCAACTCTGAATTTGGATTCAGAAATAATATATGAAAATGTCATTCAAATTAATGATAAACTTAATATTAATATTGATAAAGATGTGGTTTTCGATGAAATATTGACATTTAATGCAATGTTTTTGGAACTAAATAAAACTAATAATAATATGGACTCGATTTCAAAGTATTGCAAAATTTTATCAGGATTTGAATCTCAAAACTTAACTAAAGTAATTGAAACAGTGTTAGCAATACCAGTGGCTAATGATTTTGTTGAGCGGGTCTTTAGTGGACTTAAGAAGGTGTGGACTGACCAAAGCAATCGCATGAATATAAGTCTAATTAAAGCAGAAATTTGTATCAAAAATAACTATAATCTAAATTGCATTGATTTTAAACATTTTATAAAATCTAATGATAAATGTATTAGTGCTGCGAAATCTAACAGTAAATATAGATTTTAAATGTACTATATTTCTGTTATTAATTAAATTGTTTAAATAAATTTCAATTTTTGCAATATGTTTTCTATTATATAATTAAATATAACATTTTATTTAAATTTTACATGATATTTTAAAAATGCAATGTGTTTCGTAAATTATATTTAGGATCAAGGAATATTCAAGAAATTTTTATAAAAATGTCAAGAAATGTCAAGGAAAAATTGTTTTAAAAAATTAATTTACCAAGGAAATTGAAATTATGGCCTGGGAACACTATTTAGATTTAGTGTGATTTATTCTATTTTCGTAAAATATTCCATATTCATTTACTAAATATAAAAATTGTTTACATTTCGCAATAGATAGTTAAGTAAATTTAAATGAAATAGAAGTTTATTAACCTTCAAATTATTGATATAATATAAATATTAAATTAATAATTGTTTACACCAATAATAAATCTATTAGTTCAAACTTTCAAATGATTAAACAATCACGATAATATATAATTTTATGTAAACATGATAAAAGTGTCCATAAACATAATGAACAATTATATTGAGAAAATACGCACATATCTAAATAATTTATATTTTGAGCATAAATTCATAAACAATAAAATGAAATTGATCATGGCAAACAAAATCACTTTTATTATTGTTTCATTCATACAATTCTTTTCAGAAATTAACGGTAAAAATAATAATAAATACTTTTGATAATATAATGCATAGTATGCAAATAAAAATTAATCAAATGCATTATATTAAAATATTGTATAATTTATAAATATGGTATCTATTTTCATATTTAAGGCCGTAAAATATGTCAACACTCGTGCGGATGCGATGGTTGGGTGCCTTACGGGGACGAAAAATGTTACCGCGTGTTCAACACAACACGTCCCATGACATACGCCCTGAGCAAAGAGTTTTGCGCCGCTCTTAATGCGGAACCGTATGCACCGACTCTACCAATCGTGGAGTCGGCGGATGAACATCGGTTTCTTGTCGACTATTTGTCCGATACTTTTGCAAACGGGACGGATGTGTGGATCGGTGCCCAGCGTCGGACATTACCGGCCGATAACGTGACTGATTTTAAGTGGTGGGACGGGTCGAGCGTCGAGTACAGCAATTGGCTGCCCGGCAGGCCGTCAGTCGTAGATCGGTCCGACTGTGTAGTAATGAAATCTCGGTATACACTCACCGGTATAATATCGCACGGCCAATGGGTAAACACTGTGTGCAACGCTCACAACGTAGTACTGTGCCAAAAAATACGGTACTGGCAGCACAAAGAGATGCAGAATATAGTGATTGCTGCTAGACGTCATACAACACAAATGTATAATAATCTAGATACAGTAAGGAGTAAGCTAGATGACACTGAAAATAATTTTGCGTTAAAATATATGCAAGGTAAATTTTATAAAATGCTTCAAACGATACACAGATATGATAATCTATTTGCATTGTTATTGTAGAATATTGTATAAAACATATATTAACAAGAATATTTTTTTGCTGTAACTCATTCGGGGAAGTGCGTAATGTGTTTGAACACTTGAGATGCATAGTATTAATGCATAGCCAATGCCCCTGCAAGTGTGCATCCGCTCAACAAACACCAGATGAGTTACAGCAAAAAATATTATTGTTAAATTATTTTTTATATAATTGGTAATAATTTATGCATTGATTTTATGAAAAATGTTCATTTTTAAAATTATTGCCAATGGTAAGATGGAATTTTAAGCGAAATCAAAATGTTGAAAAGTACTCAGGACCAGCACCAAGCTGAAATTACCCAACTTAAACTTGAAAATAGTCAAAAACAATCGGAAATGTTAAAATTTAATAATGAGCATGGCCAACAAATATCTGAAATTACCGACTTGAAACTTGGCTTTAACAAGCAACAATCTAAAATTACTCGGCTGAAACAAGATATACATCATTATGAGAGTAAAATCACCCAGATGGCAGATGAACACTTGCCAGTTGGTTATATATACGTACAATATCCCCATCAGTCTGATCCCATAAATCTGTGGCCCGCATACACGTGGTCAGATGTGACGGCCACATACGCGGGTCAATTTTTCCGGGCTGAGGGGGGCGGTAGTTTGACATTTAACCAGGGTGTTCAGTCCGAACAAGCGCCTAAAATCTCAAAAATTTCATGGAAAAGTAGACGTGAGGGCGAAGGCAATTGGAATATTGATCTGCCGGCCAATGGATGGAGTGATTTAATATTCGGTGGACTCGATGGAGGCTTTTGGGGAGAAAAATTTGGTTCTAGGCGTTTTTATGTGACCGGGGGTGAAGTGCGTCCACGTAATCAAGCGGTGCGAATATTTAAACGCACCATGTAGTCAGACAATGTGTACATTGAGACATTCAGATTTTATTCAAAATTCATTGAGTTTTTACTTGATACGTTTTTAAAACACAAATAATTATATAGACTACTAAAGCATTTTATAATATACAGTATATTTAATTACTATTTTAATACTGTAAGATTCATTTTTATTTGTACTTTGATTATGGTTTTGATATTTTTAAACAAATATTATAAATAAAGCTTTTATTTTTCCGGAATTCCCGAGTAAACTTATTTACTTGCATAATCGGGAATCACATTCCATTAATCTTGAAGGTTATAAAGGTTTCAAAATATATCATTTTGGCATATTTAGCGAGAACTTCCGAAAAGCCTATTATATACCGAATTTGTCTGATAAACTTAGTTTATATTGAAAATAATAATAACATAGCATATTTAGATATAAAATCTACTAAATGTTAGGTTTATATAAATATAAAATTATTTTAATTATTAATATGATGCGAGTTAACACATTGCAATATGCAATTTTAATTATACTACGAGTATGTTGTAATTTCATTATCATGATACTAACATGTAAGTATGGTGGATCTATGTTGAACGATATCTTAATAAAAGGGCAATAATTGTGTAATTTAGGCCAAATAAAAAATATAAATTGAATATCTCGGGCTCATAGCCATAAAACGTCGAGTTATGACCATTTTTGTGATCGTGCCCATATGGAGTATAGTATTGAAAAACTGTGTTTCACACAGTGCTTGGGCTAATCACCAGTACTGCATAGCTATACGCCGTATGGGCGCGATCAAACAATGGCCATATCTCGGTTGTTTATGGCTATGAGCCTGAAATATTATATTTATTTATTTTTATTTGGCCTAATCTACACAATTAGTAGCTATTTATTAAGATAGATCTACCGTTTGCTCGTAAGTATACCAAGTATACTTAGTATCCGAGATGTAAATTATATTAACCATAATCAAATACATGTATATAGGATTTTAACATAATCACTAAATATTTTATGTGTACACTATTTATATTTGATAAATTTTAATTGATATCTTATAAGTATAAATAGAAATATAATTTATATATAAAAGCATTATTATTCATAATTATATTGATTAATTTTACTGCGCATTAATGTTTCAATTTATATTTTAATATACCTGTTAATTAAAAATGATAATGCATACAATTGTTATTATGGTTTGTGTCATTCAATTGTTTCACTTGAATCTCGGTAAAGAACTTCTTATATTAATACATTTATAATATTAAATCTATAAATATATTGATGTCCCTGAGCTAGTGTTGTCCATATTGACTCAGGTTAAATAGATCATAATTATATACAATTATAATTATGTACGTATATCAGTATAAACTAGCTAAACAAATTGAATTATGCTATATATAAGCGCATGAAAATTGTCGTGAACCGTGCGGATGCAATGGTTGGGTGCCTTACGGGGACGAAAAATGTTACCGCGTGTACAACACAACACGTCCCATGACATACGCCGCGAGCGGCGAGTTTTGCGGCGCTCTTAAACGTGATCCATACTCTCCTACTCTACCAATAGTGGAGTCGGCGGACGAACACCGGTTTCTCGTCGACTATTTGGCGGACATTTTTGCAAACGGGACGGACGTGTGGATCGGCGCCCGGCGTCGGACATCACCGACCGGTAACGTGACTGACTTTAAGTGGTGGGACGGGTCGAGCGTGGAGTACAGCAATTGGCTGCCGGGTGGGCCGTCACCTGTAGGTCTGGCTGGCTGTGTGGCCATGATATCTTAGTATACAAATAGTTGTATTTCGGCGGCGGGCACAACGCACGGTCAATGGGCAAACACTATGTGCAACGTTCACAATGTGGTGCTGTGCCAAAAGGTACAGTACTGGCAGCACGAGGAGATGCAGTTGGCGGTGATGGCTGATAGACGCCGTAGAAAACAAACGCATAGTGACCTAGAAACATTTAAAAATAAGCTAAATGACACTGTTAATATTTGTGCTACAAAAAATATGCAAGGTAAACTTTATAAAATGTTTATACATTTATATAATTAACAATCAATGTTTATTGTAACAATTATTGCCAATGGTCAGATGAGATTTTAAGCGAAATCAAAATATTTAAAAGTAATCAAGACCAGCACCTAGCTGAAATTACCCAACTTAAAATTAAAAATAGTCAACAACAATCAGAAATTTTAAAGATTAAAAATGAGCATGGCCAACAAATATCTGAAATAACTGAACTTAAACTTGGCCGTGACAGACAACAAACTGAAATAACCAAGTTCAAACAAGATTTAAGCCAATGTGAAGCTAAAATCACACAGATAACACAGAGCGTGTTGCCAGTTGGTTTTATATACGTGCAATTGCCCTATCAGTCTGACCCCAAAGACCTGTGGCCGCAATACAAGTGGTCAGAAGTGACAGCCGATTACGGGGGTCAATTTTTCCGGGCCGAGGGGGGCGGTAGTTTGACATTTAATCAGGGTGTTCAGTCCGATCATTCACCTAGGATCACAAAGATTTCATGGAAAAGTCGAGGTGAGGGCGAAGGCAATTGGAATATCGATATGCCGTCCGATGGGTGGAGTGACTTGATATTCGCCGGCAGATACGGTGGTAAATTTGGCTCCAGTCGGTATCACGTGGTCGGGGGTGAAGTGCGCCCACGTAATCAGGCGATGCGCATATTTAAACGCACGATGTAGTAATAAAGTACAATATGTACGATTTGGTACATAGTGTTGCCAAGTCATAGTTTCGTTTTACTAGAGAAATCTACTTTGAAATTTATTAGTTTTATTGAAAATTTCTTGCGTATAATTAGTTACAAAATTGAATATTTTTATATAATTATAATTTATTAAACAATATAAATTTGAAGCATTGTTTAAAAAAAGCTAAATATTTTTTATAATAATCTAGGTATAATACTCTATATGAATTTACTACAAGTGTAACATTGTTTACATTCAGCAGTACATAGTTAAATAAATTAATAAATTAAAATGAAATAAAAGTTTATAATAAAAACTTTCAAATTATAGATATTATACAAATAAAACAAAATTAATAATTGTATACACCAATAATCTAATATATTCGTTCAATAATTCATTTTATTTGCAATGTACTGTAATTTTAATGTAATGATAAACTTTTCAAATAATTAAACAATCACGATAATATATAATTTTATGTAAACATGATAAAAGTGTCCATAAACATAATGAACAATTATATTGAGAAAATACGCACATCAAATCAAATCAAATCATATTTTATTTAAAGAGTCATGTATTCACCAATTGGTGCTATTCTTACATAAACTCTGATTACATATAAAATTTAAAATAAAATTATTTAAAATACAAAATTCAGGTAAAATTATTTTTAACTTTTCTTAAGAAAGTATTAATATTTGGAGAAATTCTTATAGAGATATCCAATTGGTTCCACATTTTGATTCCTTTATGAAATATAGTATTCTGTGTGTAATTGTGTTTAGCATTGGTTGGCTTCAGATGTTTGTAGTTTTGCGATCTCGTCCTCCTTTGGGGCTCGTATTCAAAAAACTTGAGATCACTTCCCAATCCATTGATATTTTTATAGATGTATTTATATATTTCATATTTCATTAAATCTCCAAATGATAGCCACTTTAGTTCAATAAATAGGGGCTTTGAATGAGCCCTGAAATCCGCGTTCAATATATATCTGGCAATTGTTTTCTGGATTTTTGAGATGCGATCCAAATGCCGATCATATGTAAGTGACCACACATTTGATCCATACGTCATGTGAGGCACTACTAGTGAGTTGTATATAAGTTTTAGAGAAGATGTCGGCAAATGGTGTCTAATCCGTGATATAACTGATGAGACTTTTGAGCACTTTTTAGCGATTATATCGATATGTGATTTAAAGTTGAGTTGACTGTCAAAAGTAATGCCAAGAATTTTCATATGATTTGTTTCAATAAGCGACACATCATTGTATTTAACGTTGAAATATTAAACACATATTAAACACATATTTAATTAATTTATGTTTTGAGAATAAATTCTACAAAATAAATTTAAATTTATCATGGGAAACAAAATTATTTTTATTATTGTGTCGTTCACACATATATTTTCAGAAATTAACGGTAAAAATAATAATAAATATTTTCTATAATACAATAAAGTTACATAAAATGCAAATGAAAATAATTGTTACACATTATATTACAATTATTTTATTATATTGTATTTTTAAAATGTCATTCATTTTATAAGGCCTTAAAATATGTCGAGACCCGTGCGGATGCAATGGTTGGGTGGCTTACGGAGACGAAAAATGTTACCGTGTGTTCAACACAACACATTCCATGACATACGCACAGAGCGGCGAGTTTTGCGGTGCACTTAAACCGGAGCCGTATTTCCCGACTCTACCGATCGTTGATTCAGCGGATGAACAGCGGTTTCTCAACATCTATTTGACTCACATCTTTGCAAACTGGACGGACGTGTGGATCGGCGCCCGCCGTAAGTCATCGGCGGATAACCACTCGTCGCCGCGCTTTGAATGGTGGGACGGCTCGGCACTGGACTACAGTAATTGGCTGTCGGGCGGGCCGTTACATATAGACCGGGCCGACTGCGTGGCCATGAAATCTGGGTTAACAGTAATCGGTGCGAACGTAAGCCATGGCATGTGGGCAAACACATTGTGCGAGGCTCACAATTTAGTGCTGTGCCAAAAAATAAAGCTACATAACAAAATAGATACTTTGATTAACACCTTGAACTGAGATAAAGCAACAATAGTCGAGCTGGAACAAAATCAGAATAAATACCAATCTGAAATTAATCAATTAAACTATTATTTAAATCTTGCACATGCCAATATCACCTATGTAAAACAAGGCCAAAATTCATATCAATCTGAAATTAACAAATTGAACCATCATTTAAACCACGCTCATGCCAATATCACCCAGTTGAAGCAAGGCCAAGTTCAACATAAATCTGAAATCACTCAACTAACCCAAGATTTAAACCAAGCTCTATTAAAAATATCTCATTTAGATCAAAATCCTGTGCCTGTTGGTTTTATATACATACAATTACTCGACCAGACAGATCCCAATACACTGTGGCCCGCATACAAGTGGTCAGATGTGACGGCCACATACGCGGGTCAGTTCTTCCGGGCCGAAGGAGGCGGTAGTCTAGGATTTGGTGGGGGTGTGCAGGCTGAAAATGCACCTAGGTTGTCTGAAGTAGGTAGGCAATATATGAACATTGGTGACGGCCCAAATAGTATCAATCTTAAACCGGGCGCGTGGACTGATTTTATCCTAACAGGCGATATTGATGGTAGACATGATGTATACCTTAAATTTTTTAGCACCGAGGGTGAAGTGCGCCCACGAAATCAAGCCGTGCGCATATTTAAACGTACCGCATAAATTTTATATAATTAGGTATACCTGACAAATGTCTAACTGAAAAATTTTAATTAATTTGAGAATTGAATAGTTATTAAAAATAATTATTTCATCAATATAATTAAACCAATCTTATTAAATAAGTTTTTATTACTAAAAGTTTGTATTATATTAACTTTCATTTTAATTATGAAATAAATAACATTGAATAAAATCATTAAGGTATTAATTGGCTCATCATTTAAATTATTATTAATACCAACATTTATATTAATCTGGTTAATTTAACCACAATATTTCTATATCATATAAATTACTGATTTTATTAATGTTTATATAAATTGTTCATATTATTAATATATAATACATGTATAATTAGTATAAACCATAAATAGTTTAATATGAATTGTACAGATATAATTTATTTAATATAGCAGCTATAATGTTTTAATGCTAACGCATCATAATAAATCAAATAAGATAAATAACATTTATAAATGGTCTATGTAAGTAATATTAGATAAATGATAGTTAATATCTTATAATTAAAACTATATTTAAAATAAAACATTATTCATAATTATACTGACTAACAAACTGCGCATTAATATTATAATATATCTTGTAATTATTAAAGTTAATTAAAATGGGAATTACTACTATTGTTATTGTGGTCTATGTCTTACAATTGTTTCACCTGAATCTCGGTAACATATGTATTATATTTATAAAAGCAAACTCTTTCATATAATTTATAAATATATAAATGTCCCTGATAATCTGGGACTTCAAATACAATTAATGACATTAATTAAACATTTTTAACCTTGAACCTTTTTAAAACAAATACTGGTAATATTATCAAATTTTTAAGTACATGGAACATGTCGAGAGCCGTGCGGATGCAATGGTTGGGTGCCTTATGGGAACGAAAAGTGTTACCGAGTGTTCAACACAACAGACCCCAAGACATACGCCGAGAGCGGCGAGTATTGCGGAGCCCTTAAACAGGACCCGTATGTCCCGACTCTAGCCATCGTTAAATCGGCGGACGAACACCGGTTTCTCGTCGACTATTTGTCCGACACTTTTGCAAACGGGATAGACGTGTGGATCGGCGCCCGGCGTCGGACATCACCGGCCGATAACGTGCCAGAGTTTAAGTGGTGGGACGGGTCGGCACTGGAGTACAGCAATTGGTTGCCGGGAGCGGCGTTGGGCGTAGACCGGGCCGATTGTGTGGCCATGAAATCAGCGAAACAATGGTATGCAGTGTCCGGCGGCGCTCAACTGGTCGACAACGGTGTGTGGGTTAACACTGTGTGCGGCGCCCATAATATGGTGCTGTGCCAGAAGTTGCAATACTGGTCGTACCGAGAGATCCAGTTGCAAGTGTTGGCTGATAGACGCCGCGCATTGCAAACACATCACGATCTAGATACTTTAAGGAATGTCCTAGATGTCACAGCGAATAATAGTGCCACAAAGAATATTCAAGGTAAATATTTTACATTGCTTATTAATTATTGGGTTGGAAAAATATGTTTTGTCTATACAATGGACTAGATGAGATTTTAAACGAAATTACAACTTTAAAACGGAACCATGAACAACAGCAGGCAGAAATTACACAGCTAAAAATTGATAATGGCCACCATCAGTCGACAATAACGCAGCACAAATTGGAACATGGTCAACAACAATCTGAAATTTCAAAACTCAAACACGAATACGAGCTACAAAAATCAGAAATAACCCAGCTAAAACTTGACCATGGGAAACAACAAACTGAAATCAGCAAGTCGCAACAAGATGTAAAACAATGTCAATCTAAAATCGCCCAAGTGTCACAAGGCCAGTTGCCAATTGGTTTCATATACGTACAGTACCCCCACCAGAGTGACCCTAATCACATTTGGCCTACATACACGTGGTCAGAAGTGACGGCCCAATACGCAGGTCAATTTTTCCGGGCCGAAGGTGGCGGTAGTTTGACATTTAACCAAGGCGTTCAGGGGGATAACGCACCCAGAATCACCAAGATAGCATTTAGAAGTGGACGGGACGGCGGTGACAATTGGGAGATCGATGTGCCCTCGAGTGGGTGGAGTCCATTAGTGATTACCGGTGGGTGGAAGGGTAGTTGGGTCTTAAGTAAGTATTATGTCAGTGGGGGTGAAGTGCGGCCCCGTAATCAAGCCGTGCGCATATTTAAACGTACAGGTTAATCTGGTGTGTTTTGTGATGTAATCTAATTAAATTCATAATTATTATTAATTGGTGCTAAATTTCCACAATTAAATCTACAAGTAATAGCCCACAATTAAATAAATATAATATTAATAAAAAACAATTATATAACTAAAAATTAAATCATCAATGAATTAATATTAAAACTTAATTTTTAAAATATAGTACCGTATATTATTATATAAATATAATGTAATCATACACAATAAATAAATTTGTATAAAGGTTTGTATTTCATTAAAATTTATATTAATTAAAATTACAATGGTATCATCGAGATATAATTTACCGTTGTATATATTTTTAATTACACCAACATTTATAGTAATTAATATTTTATAAATTACTGATAGTATTAATGTTTATATAAATTGCTAATAATATTAATTTATAAACCATGAACAGTTTTACAAATATATATTACAAAAAATTATTAATAGTGCTCTAATTATACGGTTTTAAATAATTATAAATTACTTTACTTTACTTATTCAGTATTTTTGTAGAACATTTAGGCTTAAAAGGAATTTCCGAGATGTGAGATGGCCATTTTCTCATTATCTTGCCATGGTTAGATCCAGTACGAGTGTCTGATAAATAATCAAGAGTGAAATTATGCCAACGGCTAAAAACGGGAAAGTTATGGCCACTTTTGTAAAAATTTACATACTTTGTATAGCAATAGATTTTGGTGATTACTAACTTATACTCAGTCGTGCACTTGAGAAAATCCAGTTCTCTATGCTATATAACGTATGTAAATTTTTACAAAAGTGGCCATAACTTTCCCGTTTTCAGCCGTTGGCATAATTTCACTCTTGATTATCTATCAGACACTCGTACTGGATCTAACCATGGCAAAATAATGAGAAAATGGCCATGTCACATCTCGTAAATTCCTTTTTAGTTTGATATTTACACATTGTGTTTATAGAGGTCTCTCTCTCT